CTCCACAATGTTCACAGCAGTATGGTCTTGCATCAGTGTGGCTCTGTCTATGTCTCTATAAATCAGAATCCTTCATAACCATAGGAACTGTTCCTTTAGATGGTGTGGTGAGGGCTCCATACATCAGCTGATGGTCTTTCTCTTTCTACGAATACAGATATGGAGAGATAAATGCTTTCTTATAATTACATGTTTCAAACAGTGTTCACTTTTATATTTCAACTTACAAAGAGCAACATATGCACACATCTTTTATTAAGATACAGGGAAAGAAGCAAAGCATATTGAACCATAAAAAGGTACCTGGAGTTGTGGGATCCTCTGCAATATAGAAGAATAGGAGAGCTCTTGGCACAGGAGAGCTGCGCCCCGAGCTGACATAAAGTGTATTTGCTCACCACCTCCCGCCACAGACTTATTGGAGAGAGAGGGAAATGGTGCAAGAAACGTCTTTTACCAAGACCTGGTTTAGCTAAAAGGCTTGGCTAACTGCATGCAGCGAGGCTAACTCTTTATTCTGCTTTCCCTGCCTCCTTTTTCAAACGCCAGGATCTGACCCAGCATGGATAAAGACAGCTAAGACTGATTTAAAACACTTTTTAGAAAAGGCTAAGAAGAATGAACAATCTGGGATTCACATATAATAGAATATAGTCTACTTTTTACAGGTGTTTGTTAATTTGCATAGTTGCTCTTAAATAAACACATTCTCAGAAAATAAATAGTTTCTATATATCAAAAAATATAAAGCTGACTAATAGCTTCTCCATTATTAAACTGGTACATTATATTTTTAAGTTTGTGACACAATATTGGACCATGCAAAACACAGTTTTATAATGTTTTTTTGTTGTTGGCATTCATATACATATACTTGTGTGATAACTTATATGTTTGATTGGTTTTTGGTAAAGTCTATTTTGAATTTATTGCCCCCCTGGAGAAAACTCCACCCACTACCACTGCTCTTCTCCCTCGGGTCACCGATGGTGTTCTAACACCGACCGGCTGGGATTTACACTGAAAACAGGCTAAGTTTAAAACAAACTTGAGACATTTTAAACATTTAAAACAAAAATGTAAAGCACTGGACAGTTTCTTCATAAGTTCAGTGGGCATGTTTTGAGTAACCTTTTACTGTTTCTTTGTTCTTATTGGTTCTCTGTTAAGATTAGGTTTGACTTGATTCTGATTTTCATATTTTAACAGAACTTGTCTTTTCATTCATGGACATTAGTTATGGCACATCCCAATGCGTGGATGACGTCATACACACTCCACTTTGTTTTTAAAACATCTAAATATGAAAAAATATAACCGCGGATGTCTGGGGGACAGTGATTGGCCTACATGTTATGAATGCTGGCGTACCATAAAGAATAAATTATGAACAGTTTAGTTTGTGCCTTCAAGTCGTTGCCCATAGGAAGACGTTACTTGGATATAACCTAACGGAATATCTTCAGAACGGCTCCAAATGACACAAAACACATATGGGTGAGTAGAACATGATGGAATAACGGAAAATCAAGGATCAATGGAAAAAACCGAAGTTCCCCTTTAAGAAACATTTTTTTTATTATTTTTTTATTACAAAATTTAGAAAGTTACATTTCACGTTTGCATGAACGGAAAACAAAGACAAAGAAAATAAAGTAAAACACATAAAAGACATTTTTCAACATCAGCAATTAGAGAACATAGCCAGAGTAACAAAAAATAAGTATCAGTAACATTAATTATAAAGTTAGAGTAGATAAATACCCTTTAATCCAGAAATATAGATTATATAATTTTTTAACTCAACTTTAAAAACACTGAAAAGAGATTTGTTCTTCATAAATTTTGACTTATGGATGAAGAATTTACCAAGTAAAATAAATAGATTGACTATATATTGTATAGAGGGGTTTGAGTCAGAAAAATAAAAGAAAATGTGAAAACTGGATAAAAGTATGTTTGAGCCAAAGTGACCATAAATAAAGCATTGCGTATCATTCCAAAGAGAAGAGCTACGTGAACAGCTATAAAATAAATGGTCTAATGTTTCTATTTCCAAAGAGCAAAAGGAGCATTTTTCATCTACAGTGGGGATGAATTGTGAAATAAGCTTATTACAGGGGTAATAATGGTGAAGGATTCTAAATGTTATTTCTTTTACTTTGTTTATAATTAAAAATTTACTCCAGGCTCTGTTCCAGTTAATGTTTTCATACAGGGGGGAAGAAACGAGTGCAATGCATTTTGTCCAAGTGCAGGTGCCATATAATGACGTCATTAGAAGGAGCAGGACCCCCAGCAGATCTGATAGCTACACCAGCTCCGATCTAACCGAACACAGACCCAGTACAGCAGGTGTCCCGGCTCAGACTGAGCTGTGGACCTGCTCAATATCTCAGAGAACCATCGGAATCCCACACGGTTTAGGGCTGAAGCTGCATCCGGTAAGTTTAATAATGTTTCTGTTTTCGACCGGTTCCAACAGGCTGCTGATCTGAGATCATAGCTGGACCTGCGCGGGTTCGGTTAGAGGTGGCGGGTTCGGTTAGAGGAGGCGGGTTCGGTTAAAGGTGGCGGGTTCGGTTAAAGGTGGCGGGTTCGGTTAGAGGGGGCGGGTTCGCTAAAAGGGAGCGGGCTCGGTTAAAGGGGGCGTGTTCGGTTTTGTGCTCACAATAGGCGTATTTCTGTTAGCCTCGTAGTTAGCTGGTAGGCTAAGGACCCCCTTTAGCTGCCCTCGTCGATGCCTGTATTGCCTCCCTCTGCCCCCCCAACAGGAGACCTTTACAACAATTAATGTAAATATATCGATGGATTAAATTTACTTTAATATAGAAAATAGTTTATTACAATACCTATTTAAAATAATAAAACCATGTTATGGTTAAATT